GGGGACGCTAGTGCATAAACACGGGTAATTCCCGGGCAATCCCAAATGGTGACCGCGAGTCCCCCTTACTGCTGCTAAAATGGCAACGCATTTGCTGAACTTGAAACATGCAAAACTATATTGACAGCTGTTCGCATATCAGGGAGAATATAATCCGGAAACTGATTAGTTTTGCATTAACAAAACATTACCATTTCTTACCGTAACCGTAACCGTAAGCGCTGTGCGATTCAACAATAGGCCTTTTGCAACAAAACAGTCACTTGCTGATATATCACTTTGTGACGAATTCAGCTTGGATGGCAAACAAATTTCAAACTGCTTTGTATCATGAAACCAAAAGTATCTTCTAAGGGGAAAAAAGTATTTTCTAAAAGTTTTTGTAGACAACATTAGTAATTCAGCAACAATTCTTTAAATAAAGGAAGTCCATTTTTTGCCATCCAGTAACAATCACGTGTCTATTGCAAAAAGCCAATTCAAACGAAATAAAAGGTTACCACTTGAACATTTAGCCGCATCTTGTATTGTGTAGGTGTTGGGAGAACAGTAGGGGTCCCACTTAGGGAAAGCCGCTCCAATACAGGGATACTTTTCCCTGAAAAAAAATTATTTGAAGACCCGCTCTGACTAACCAAGCCATTGACAATGTTAATCAAAGCATCTCTGTATGGAAAATTGGTGTTAAACTCCACATGTTTCGTGAATGAAGAACCATATATGATAACAGAATATCGAAATCTGTAAACTCCATATTTCCTGATCATCTTCAGCATACAATTTTTCATCAATTGATAAGTGACATTTGAGTTGACGGAGCCTGCGTTGATCACGAACAACATGTGTACGTATTCAACTTTGGAGAAAAAAAGAACCACAAATATTATATATGCGCCACAATGGCTATTGTTATAGTTTAGCAGTCAATTTTTTTTATGGCTTTGATGTTATACAGGCAAAACTAAATAGTCAATGCATCGCAAAATTTACGAAATCATGACAAATTAAAAAAAAGAAATAATATACTATCATTTCAACTTCATATTAAGACAAAAGGCAAAAACCTAATAGTCACGATATAAACCGTTAGAATCGGGCAAATCCCGCCCGGTACGCTATTTTAATGAAAAAATCATTCACCATAGACTAGGCAAAGAACACAGCTCATTCATTCACTATTTAAAACATAAAACACACACACACAAAAATCAAATAACTTACATCGGACGACACGGTTCATGATATTTTCCCCAATGTTCAAGTATGAAATGGACGTGTAATCCGATGAAAATGTGACAAAGTCTCTGTAGGCAGTGAAGTAGTAGTACTCTACTATGTCTATTTCACGACCCATTCCTACTGGTATGATAAACACTCCCATCTCTTCTAAAGATGTTGTCATACTGCGCAGTGCTGCCTCATTCATTCCAGTTTTCCTGTCCATCATTAACACCAGAACCTTCCAAGCATCTGACCGGGAATCGCTTTGGAAATTAGCCTTGGCATGCTCAAATGCGCGCGATAAATTAGTTGCAGATCCTCCAATTGCTCTAGGAATCCTGGCAAAGGCTCTCAGCAACATTTCCAAGTTTGGGAATGCCTTACTGTCGAACCTGTAATACATCACAGAAGATCCTCCATAGACAATAAACGTGTATCGACATCGCCCATAACCATATCTTTGTAGTATTGTTCGTATGACATTCTGCATGTAAGAGTAGTAACTACTCGATTGAGAAGAAAAGGCGTACATGATGAACGTCATGTCGTAGTTCAGCATGTAAACTGTAAAGAAAACCAGATGTTGGTTATTATATTGGATGCTCTTTATAATCAAAAAATTATTATTTTATCTGTTGGATTTATTTTCGTATTAAAAAAATGTGGAACCAAGTGTTAAACCTAGATTAAAAAAGTTTATTTAAATGAAGTCTTGGATTTCTTATGGTTACAGCCATAAAAAGAAAATCAGAGGGCAACTCATACAAAAAATAATTGTATCAAACACAGGGACTTGTTATGTACATGATAATTATATATAGTTGCTTACGTCGATATACGTTGTGCATGACTTTCAATTCCAGGGCATTTGCTGTCTCTACCTCAGTTACATGGATAACATCTTCACTATTGCTGCTCATGAGTAGTAACTGATTTCTGTCGATGTTATTYCCAATACCGACGGGAATGATTCTTAATCCTGAGGCCCCTAGTGYGTACGACAAGGATCTTAAAGTCGCAGTACTGATCGATGAACTCTTGTCAGTCATCAGAACAACGTCTCTTTCAGCACTTCTTCGAACGCTTGGATCATTGAAGCTACTTTGACACCTGTTCAGTGCAGCGTCTGTTGCAATGGTCCCAGAACCTCCTGGGTAAGTGAGACTATCTATTGCATTCTTCAGATCTGAAGACGAAAGCGATCCAGTCGAGGTGAACGAACGTACCACTGACGGTGAGGCTGAACCAAGTCCATATGTAACAATGCTGTAGTGGATGGTTCTCATCCCGTATTTGAGAACGATTGCTCCCATGGTGTCTTTCATCAGTTTAAAAAGTGCTGCAGAATTAGTGGAACCAGCACCGATAGCAAATGTAATGTCGGATTCTGGAAAATGGAAACAGAAAGGTATTGGATTATCATAATGACATTTTTGAACAGGCAATAATCAAATACGTTTTATGAGATTGTCAACTTTGTAGCTAGTGGGTCGTGACAAAGAAACGTTCTTAAACTGGAAGGTGCCCGCGTGCAGGTGAGAAGACTATTATGGAAGTAAAGAATTCCTTTTCGGTTTGGGGGTCGGGCAATAAATGAAGAGTACATATTTTAAATATCAAGTACGCTTTCAGTGCTTCTCCTTAATCCATACCTTTAAAGCATCTTGCAGCAATACCAAAGCAAAGATGACGATAGCTTCCTGTCCATGGAAACAGCATGACGTAATACCTATTTAGAGTTATCCATTCAAGCTGTTGTACTGGAATCTGTCTTCCAATGCCAATACCGATCACAAGTGCTTCGATATCTCTGAGGTTTTTTGCAGCAAGTTCCAATTCATTCTGAGACTGTGCTGAACCCGTGTCCATCATTACAACAACAATCTTCCTTGCGTTTGGTCGTGAACCTGGTCCTTGTAACATTGCTTTTGCATTTCCAAGCGCGGCTTTCAGATCAGATGAACCAGCGATGTTGTTGGAACCATCGATTGACGTCTTCAAAGTAGCTTTATCCATACTGGCAGTAGTCTGGAAGTTAAAGACATCGTTGACGGTAATACCAAAGACGATCAGGCCGTACCTGATATACGTCTTACCATATTGCGTCACAAATTCTTTAGCTGTGTTTTTCATGAAGGTAAAAGCTGCAGTTGCGTCTGCTAAAATGGTAGAAGTTGAACTGAACAGAAACACAAGATCGATATCGGGAATACCTGAAAATATTTGAATTGTTAGCAGATCAATGATAAAATGATCTAGAGCCTTGTGTAAGATTTAAAAACGTACTCGGGCAGCTATCCTGTAACAAGGATTTTTATAACCTTTTTTACTTAAAAACATATGTTTCAAACTTAAGCCGAAAAAAAACACCCCAACCTCATATAAATCATCTATAATAAATACATGTCTAAAAGCTGGTCTTTTTTTCAATTTGTACATAATTTTGTACATGATGAGTTTTTGTGTTTATATCTAAAACTCTTTTGGTAGAATTCCTGTTTTACTGCGCATGATTAGAAAGAACTGACATCAAGTACGAATGTTAAGGTAGAAAAATTCCTTCACAAACGTCGAGGTTTGAAGTAAAAGAGGTGCTCCAATTGCAAATAGTTTCTATTTCATCGAAAATTTATATAATGATTTAGTTTGAGAAAAAGAAAGTAAACAAATAAAACCAGGAAAAAGCATGATTTGGGGGTTTAAATATTTAAGTGAATTAATGGATTACCTTTAACACATCCATTCACGTCAATTCTTAAATTGTGTGAACCAGGCTTTACTCCTGGATCTGGTTCAATTGGAACAAATCTGAAGTAACGTGCCGTTACGACGCTTCCAAGATTAACCACGTTTATTGCCTGACTTGGTGCAGGTGGGGGGTAATTCCCATAGTATGGCTGTGAAAATTGATAGGGTTGTAAGTGCATTAGTACTTTCATATTCAAACTGAACCCTCATTATTTTCTTGATCCATAAGGCCTAGTTAGCAAATTACATGACACAAGTAAGACGAAGATGCTTACATTGCAGGATGCAGGTGCTAGTCGTTTCCTTCTACAGTCGTATGTTATTCCATCGTAACTGTACTGAATTGCCATCTGATTTGTTTGTTCTRCTGTTGCAGGGTCTCCTGACCACACCACCTGACTAACACTGTAGTTTGCTCCTATAAAAAAATACGAACAATTTATCAGAATTACGTTTGGCATGATCCTCATTGAAATTTAATTACCTTTTTATCGCATTGTTAAAAATCCTAATAAAACAAAGGTTAAAAATCGNTTTATCAGAATTACGTTTGGCATGATCCTCATTGAAATTTAATTACCTTTTTATCGCATTGTTAAAAATCCTAATAAAACAAAGGTTAAAAATCGTTTTTCTTAAATCTTTTCRACCTCCAGTCGGAGTAGYTTTTATTTATTTATTCTTTTTCKRAGTAGCTATACATGGTTCCAAGAGAATATGGAATTAATGTCTCTTGATGTCACGCATAATGAACTTTATACCAGAGAAAGTTATCTTCATTAGTAAATTATATAAAGATCGAATCCTGCTCGTTTATTCAGCACTATGTTATAGAACTGTGTTAAAGTGTTCTTAGAGTTGGACTACTCAAGCAGAAAGACATGGGCACCCTCCTAGGATTATAGTATTAAATGTAATTCAAACTTACTGACTTTACTTACCTAAGTCAACCGTCAAGGAGTTCCTAAAGCTAATGGTGGTCGGCTTCCATGGTTCTCCAGAAAGTAAAGGACGTCCTGGGTCCCCGGATGTAGCACTGAATGAAATACTGGAGTTGTCCAACAAGTAATTGTCCAACAAGGAACCACAACCAACTGGAATGAATTGCAAAATATAAAATCTTGGCTCCAAAATTAAAGACCACGTGGGAGAACGGCCGTCAGTTACATAGAACAACTAAAATAATAACGAGGAAAGGACTGAAACAAAGTTCGCTACTCGCCAAATGTCAGGGGTTTGCATTGAATACACCTATTTCAATAAACTTTGTCTTTGCCAATGGCGATAGGCTAAAGGTGAAAGGTAATAGAAGATAGGTTATTCCAAGATCTAACAATAGCTGGAATGACTTGTGTTTCTGCTTCTTATTCTCATCAAGAACATGGACCTTAGAGTTGAGACTGATCCATTGTCTTTGTATTCAACCAAACCATTTCGATGTCCAAATGACCTATCGCCTACCGCCTTTGGTGATGACCACGTTTATTGAAATAGGTGAATACAAAATAAAGCTATCAGAGAACACGAAAGCTGTTCAACTCAAACATACACTTTGCCAAGAGTGTGTCTACCAGCACTAGTCTTTTTAAATATATTAAATATGCCATATAATTGCTTGTCTAACCCCCCGACCTCCCTTGCCTGGCTTGAGAACACAATGACACTAGTTATCCTATAATGGCGTACCTATATGCCATTCTAAAGCCCCACATCGCTAAACATACCGTAGCCATCCCAAGCACTATAACTTATCTATATTTCTATATCTTTCACTCCAACTTAGACAACTCCAATATAACGGTTCGGTCATTGAAATGAGAGATTTTGATTTATTGCACTTGTCATGAGCAGTGTTGCATTCACAGGAAATTGTTTGAGTTACTTCCTCATGCATATGGACTGATTTTGTGTTCTTATACTTCAAGCTCCCTTTCAATTTTTATTAAATTAACCACGTACTTTATCCAAACCATGATTATAGCAAAAACTATCAAAGTTTGTTGATATTTTTTCCCCCAGAAATAAAAATTGTGAAGAGACTAAACGAACACGATCGATCTAAGAACACATTAAGCAGAAATGTTTTTCAATAGCGAGCAATAATGGCAAAAAGCGCCAAAAACTAGACTTTCGTATGAGTTTTGATCCCAATTTTCTTTTTGGGTTAACACTCAAGACCTTTTTTTAACAGTTAGAAACTGATGTACTAAGATAAAATGCTTATTTGAAGCGGTATTTTCAGTTGTACAAAGAATGTAACTTTGTCAGGCTTTTTTGTAGAAAATATATGGGAAATAAGCAAATGAAGGCCTAAACCTCATTTTCGATTCAAATTTTTGCTTTTTGTTAACACTTTGATTCCACTTTCATCGGTCATCTCCACTTCCAAACGAGTTAAACTTTCTGAATAACAAGATTTTAGCCTTGTACAACAGCCTTTCTTCAAGAAAATACTTTTTGGCGCTCACCGCTTGAATACGAAAAGAATTCTCTCCTAATCTTAAGCATGAAATTTCATCAAAATTTCATTTAAATTAAAGATTTCGTTAGTATTTCTACAGTTTTAGTATATATCCTATCATTTCTATCGTGATGCGAATTAATTTCCAGGTCACTGATGACAAAATTTAGATAATCTTATAGGTTAACCGTATGTGAGAATACCCGAAATATTAGAACAAAATTGAAATAGTTTCGCATGTTTCGTATAGAAATTAAAAGATTAAGTATAACAAACCTTCATTGAGATCAAATTCGGTGCTGACAGTATGAAGGAGAAACACATTCACAATGAAAATCCTGATCAGCTTCATTCTCGTACATTTGCACTTAGTGGATACAAAATACCACCTTTTGAACAAATTCTAACGATGATCTAGTTTAATAAAAATATGATATTGTGATCTCTTCAATACAAATAAAACTACGTCATTCTGATGTAAAGGGTGGAATCTGATTGGTTATAAATATTCAATTAAAATTAACATTCCAGTTTATGCGTCATTCACTTTCCCATCGTGCTAATGATGATATTAACTAAGTGCGCTTAAAAACCTATAAGGTGGCTGGCTACTTTGGACAAAAAATTAACAGAAAATTGAAAACCGAAACTTTTTTCACCTGAAATTTAATGCTGACTCCAAATATGAAATGAAAAATTGGGTATGTTCCGAGCTTGTTTTCGAGATAATGAGCATTTAATGGATGCCTACCCGCGAGTTTTTGGAGCAAAAAATGCGCCACCATAAGTGATCAGAAAAAAATATAAGATTCATTATTTAAATAATAGTTCTTTGCATACTCTTAGATTGCACGAATGACGGCTAGTGTATTATTTTACAATAATACGCGGATATTTTTGACAAAACGACAAAGAAACACATCGATTTGTCATATTTTGTCCTTTCAGTGCTTTCAAAAACTCTCATAAAGTCGATCAAAAATATAATAACATAGAAATTGATGTGTGATGATAAGCCGGAATTATAAGGTTGCCGGGGGTTATTAGGGTTAAGGTTCCCACAAATTAACTAAATACCTTGTCAATAATAGCTATTAATATTTTGGAAATATAAACCTTCATAATTTAATTAAAGACATGTCCCTCAAATGACGAAATATTTTCACAATCAGCTATTCACTGTCTAAAAAATCAATTGAGAAGGTATTTTATAAATGCTTATGGGCAAATTTAAGGCAAAATATGAGCAACTAGGACTGCAAATGCCAATATTAACAGAACAACAATTACATGAAGATATATGCAGACATATTTTAGTATATATGATATTTAATATTTAATTTCTTATTAGAATAGTACCTGTAACGATGAGTCAGCTTGAGTCATACTGCAGTGGTGGCTGTTAAACGGTTTATCCGAAATGTACACCCATATTGTCCGGTTGTCCGGCCGAGTACACTTTTGTAACTTTTTTGGACAAGCTAAGATCAGCTTGAATACCCAGTAAGATTTTGCATCTGCAGTAGCGATCTCTGTTCGCGAACCATTTTTGCTATATTCCACTGGAGGCAAAGGATTTTTGATCTTCTTTCTCCTCCGGAG